ATTCGCCTTTCTAACCCATGAAGCCGCACCTTCTTTCACAAATTTATTTTGCTTCCTTTAGTTGATAATGAAAGTACTTCAGGCGATTCGTGCTGGTGATAAGAATGTGATCGAAATATGTCTCAGGAAGTTTCCACCAATGTTTGAAACCATGAAACAGCAGATGCTTCGACTCCTCAGTAAGTTATCCGTGAACGTTCTGATAACCACTCTGTTGAATGTCTTGATTTTCACTGCCAGTGTGGATAAAATTTACAATTCCCCGCTAAAACGAAGGATGTTTATCCCGTTACTGTGCGTCCGTCTTTTCGGTGATGCCGATCTCGGTATTTCGCTTGTATAGTAATTGATAGTTTTATTTTAGCATCATTATCTGAAGTATTTTTTTCAGTTTTGGTGTAGAGGGCATTACGATAGCCACCGCCTCAGTCTCTCCTGCGCTGCCGATTTTCCAAAGTAGGCACATGCCAAAACCACACACATGATAGGATATTTTATCTTAATGTGCCTACTAAATTAAATTTAGTAGTAGTTATCGCAAAATTATATTCCTCAGACTTCTAATGAACATTCTTTTTCAGGTGAACTCGATCCCCAGGAGTTCTACGTGGACTTGCGAAAATACCTCTCCGGGTAATATTTCTTATATCGTCCCAACTACCGTTTATGTTTAAGCGTTTTTTTAAGACTAAGGGGTTCTCTGAATGCCAACTCACCTTCGTTCTTATCGAAAACAAGCAGATTGCTATCTTTATTATCGCCGTGTGAATTTCAAAAGCTAGGAAGAATACTGTGGAGCTTTTCTGCTTATGCATTCTTCTTTTTGGGATTTCTATATACCAATCAGGTAGCAATTAATCATGCGGAAAAGTATGAATGACGCGTTTTGCGCAACCATTTGTAGGCGGTCATCAAGTTGAAATGATTGCAACCCTCTCGTTTCGACGTAATTGTTGACAAAGCTAACAAGAAACTATGTCATACGTTTGAAAACTGTAATAAGGGGTTCAAAATTCCGGTCGCACAGCTTGTAGCTGCCAGCGTCGAAAGCCGCTGACTGCATTCAAAAACATTAGACGTTCATATTTTGCTCTAACACGGGGACAACTGACTGCTTTAAAGTGTTCAACTGCAAGTAACAGCTTCAATTTCGAATCTCTAGGGCGAAATGAAGGTGCTAACTTCAGCCGTGTATTTAAGGTAGAACGGCTCTGGTCAGAACACACATACAACTTTTGATGAAATGTCTTTCTCCCACCAATCTACCATTCATTCACGAAATCCTTAACTGTTCTATAGTCAGTGCAAACCTTCTGTCACATGGGTTGTTGTAGTCGTATTGCTTTTGGAGTTTTTTAATCATTAGAATGACCCTGCGTACCTGGCGCCTCACGTTTTTGGTTAATTTATATGCAATACCGGCGACTGCCTATATGAGGTGGCACTTTTCAGATAGTATTGCCGGCAAAGACAAGGGAGACTGGAATGGCCCTTTCTGGCTTATTACCTCTACCCAACTGCAAGTGGCGTCCCACCCAAGATACGAACCCGTGTCCTCGCTAGTCAGAAGTCCAACGCGCTAACGACTGCGTCACGGGCTCATTGCCTTGCCGGTTTTCAATCGGGAATATCCACACTGACAGGTAGGCGCACACCGATAGGTTACAGGACTCACTCGTCCCTTTATGTGCCTTTCGGGCTCATTCTCTACCCACGCGCAAGGCGGCTAATGATACAGACAGAATGACATTATCGACAAAGATAAGGGCAACTAGAATGGCCATTTCTGACTTATTGGCCGTCATCAGCCGGCTCGACCCAAGTCCGGGCGCCTGGGCTTCGGTCCCGCAACCCCTTAAATCAAGTTTCCTTTGTCTTGCCAGCTTAACACAAATTGCATTAAATTTTTGCAGCAAGTGTTTTACGTAACACAAAAAAAAAACACATCGTGCAACAAGAACTAAATAATGACAAATTATCGATAAAGGACTATGCTAATTATTATGATCAGTCCGCATGAGGTCGCATAGCTGACCCTTAGAATGCAGGCAGTAATCTCACAGGTAATGCCTGTGCTAGCTCCTCTTTGTTGCCACAAGCCTAGACGTCACCGTCGAGATAGGCCTTCTGTTATGGCCCGCCTGGTACTGCTAAGTCGAACGCCGAGCCAAGGAACCCGTAAGGGTGAGACAGAGAGAAGACGGGTTGGCCAGAGAGAGGGGAAGTTTACTGCGACAAGCACCTTGCAGCGAGTCAGAGCAAGTCAAGTCAGACACAGGGCGCATGTACTTTAAAGGGCACGCGAGAGACATCGTGCGACAATGGGCCGATCAGAGGAAAAAGCGATAGTCACGTCGCGCTCTCACGACAGCTGCGGAAGATGAGCTCGCGGGCCTTTCTGTGAGATGAATAATCATGGGAATGGGTGCGCCGCTTGCGCAGGCTCTCTATCTGTTAGGCGTATGCTAACAGAGTAGTCGTGGGAATGGACACAGTCTCAACACCTTCTTTGAATACCCAGAGAAGAACACAACAGCAAGGGCGCAAATGTGGAAGTCTATGAGCATACCTGGTACAGCATATTTTTAGGCAAGCAAATCGTTACAAGATCGCACCAATCAGATTGTGTCCTCAAGCGAGTAACGACTTGATTGGCTTTATGACTCTGTCAGTAGGCGTGTCGGTTAGGACAGCTCCTAACAGTCCTATTTCTCTGTGTCCTTTTTAGCTGGTCACATGGTAGACTTACAAAGGGGCTCATCTATCAGGGTGTTCCGGATGACTTGCTCACTGGACAAGAAATGAATGGTTGCCAGGACGGAAGGCGCATCTACCTGGGTGCCAGTGCTGCTCAGTCAGCCAGCCTGCAAACGCTGGATGCCTTTTTTGGCGTCAAGCATGGACCAGGTGAGAGCTAAACACTTAATTTATTCCTCTTAAATACAGTAGAGCCTCGAGTGACGAGCAGCCTCATCTAAGAGTATTTCAGGTAACGAGCGAGTCATTAGCAGAAAGTTTGTTTCGATTGACGAAATCAGCTTACTTGAAGAGTTGTCAGTGCTCCCAGGGCATGGTTCCTCGGGTGTCTGTGGCCAATCTGTGACCTGATGCAGTTTGATTGCTTGCGTGTCGCAAGACGAGCATTTCACATGACGAGCTCGGAATCAGAACGGCTTATGCTCGTTAACCAAGGTTCCACTGTATAATAAAAAGTGACCTATGCGAATCTGCACTGGGATACGGGGATCTGTCTCCCCCAGATTGTGCCTTCGTCCAATAGCACAGGCACAAAAGCTTATTGCTTAGGAGCATACTAGTTTACCAGTGTTCCTGGAGAGCTTTCCTCATAACATATACATTTAAGGAAAGCTCGATCTACTCACATTCTTCTTTGTAGAAGTCGAAGAGTTCCTCGTTCGTATGAGAGCCTTCATGATCCGTCCTCATCGGCAATTTGTTGAAGACCTTGAACGACACAGTACCCTTCGGGATTATGGTAAATTCTTGAGTAATATAGCTACAGCAGAATGTTTTATTATATTAGGGAAACATTTCTGTTAGCGACAAAATCAGAAGCAGATTTTTATTGATAATTCGTCTTCAGACTAACAAAATGACCGAAACACTCCGATTAATTGCGGTAACTTGCGTTCAAGGGAGGAGGGAGTGGGAGTTCGATGGATTGGCGGAGACCCTTTGGTCGCTGGATTGCATCCGCGGGTTGGGGTCGGTCGGGGTGGGAAAAGATGAGGTGATGAACAGGCAACAGGGTTAATACATCCTGATATATATGTGTCCTTGTCCAAACGAATTATTTATAAGGGGCGGAAATTTTCTGCGTTCGACGGATAGGAATAGTGGTTAGTGTGACCGGCCCATCTTTCAGGTTGCACTGCTGTAGAGACAAGTTATAGGTTTCTGGATACCAAGTTAGTGCACGCGGACGCCAGTGAAGGTAACGAACGCATCCTCTAGGTGGTATTAAAATAACTGAGTTTCTTGGAATCCCCTTTTGGTTGATTCAAGGTTCGCTACCATAGCATATACCCTTTATAAGTTTTAAAGATTACTTTTAATGAAGTGCTGTCCGTTTTAAGCATTTCAATTAAAACACACAAAAAAATTGGGAAGCGTATTGCAGACAGAGCATTGAGTGGAGCCTGAGAGCATTTTGAATTCACGGCCAGTACCCAACTGATGTGTATTATCTATCCGGTATCTCAGAACAAACCTCGAAATGTTCTTCCTAACGTCCCTTTTAGCTAATCCGGTGGATGAGTTCTTCTTCCTAAAGGCAGCAGGTAGTTTGGACCGGCCGTTGGACTATGCCTGAAAGCTAAAGCCGTTAAAACTTGCGAAAAAGACGGTCACTTGATCAGTTTATTGAGGAGAAGATAGACGGACGCCTTTGAACTCCCTATTGGTAACAAGATGATAGGAAGTAAATGGATACAAGAAAAAATTTCAAAAGTACGTAAATAACATGTTGCGGGCGAAGACACAGCAACTGTTGGGTAGTCGAAATGGTAGTAAAGCATGACACCTCGCTTATCTTAAGTAGTATAATGTAATTTAGTGAGTTTTCGTTACCTGGAGGATGTGGAATGATGTGTTTGCTGCATGTCCAGTCTGCTCTTAAATGAATTAACAGAGGTGGAGAGGACAACCTCTTCGGGAAGGGCGTTCCACGCTGCAACTACTCGGTTGCTGAAGAAGAATTTTCGTCCATCCATTCTTGCTTTGCCGGGGCGTAGTTTAGAGGGATGAACGGTACAGGAATGGGAAACAGTAGCTTATGTAGCCCCACTCATTAATCACTACAACCTGCATGTTTTCCTACGAAAACGGTGTTTATCGGGTTTTATGGGGGGAAATTAGGATACGCAGTGGAATTTACTTTAATAATTACTAAATGTATTTTTATTTTACTGTATTTAGAAGTGTTGTTGATTTATATCTG